ACATTTTTGATTTCGCATATATCTTGGCTTCGGTAAATAATAAAACCTTGAATTTTTTTCCAAAAGATGCGCCATGAAAAGCTCTATAAAAAGCTGTATGATTGATTTCCTTTTGACTTGTTCTAATGGTTTTTCTTATACTCGAAATGAATAACATACATAACAGTGTTACTTCCCATCATATTGAAAATGTTTGAAAGACTTTTCTGATTCGCTATAGGAATTGTTTCATACAGCTTTTGTAGAGCTTTTGATGGCACATCTTTTAAAAATGAATTCAATATTCTATTATTTTCTCAAGTCGAGATATATGAAACACAAAAAAGTCTCAAAAATTTTCAATATGATAAGAAGTAACAATGTTATGAATGTTGTTCATTTTGAATATAAGAAAAACCATTATAACAGGTCAAAAGGAAATCAATCATACAGCTTTTTACACAGCTTTTCATGGCGCATCTTTTGTAAAAAAATTCAACGTTATATCATTTTCCTAAGCCAAGATATGTGCAAAATACAAAAATGTAGTGAAAAAAAATGTCACTTTTTTTTCTAATATAGGTTTTATCCCCTAAACTGCAACTGATGTTCAACGTTAATATATCAAAAGATGCAGCGCGTTCTGGGCTTTCTCCCTATATATAGCGAATTAAAAAATAAAAGAGTTATAGTAACAAAAATAAAAAAAACAGAAGGGGGGATTTCAATTGGCCCTCACAGTATATGGTCTATATGACTTATCATTGTATGATTCACTATTGGCTTTTGTTCATTTTTCCCTGTTCCATTATATCTTTGTTATAAGTGACTATTTGTTCTCAATGTGGCGAATAATTTTATTGAAGTCTTGAAATGCCGAGAAAACATTCTATTTTTTCCAAATTTGTTCTTGACTCCACGAGAAGATTCGGAAATTTGTAGAATGACAAAGAATACGTTCTTTTCTTTTCAAGGACGATGTTAAATTGCCTGAAACGCATTCATCCTTTCGAACAACCCATTCTTACATATTCCTCTAGCAAAGCTAAAGAAAGCTTTCTCATTTTAATAGAATCTTATTTTGACCGTTCTAAAATAGAACGGAAAAGAAACTATTCTAATAGCGATTGGAACGGTTCAGGACGCTTTCCATCAAGACTAAGAACGATTTGGAACTGAGAAGAAAGCATTCCAAAAATGTATGGAACGGTAAAGAATGCGTTCCTTTAGATACAGAACGTACTTTTATTGCTGATGAACGCGTTCTACAAAGTAAAGAATCCATTCTTCACTTACAAGATCGCGTTCCAGTTTTTGATGAACGCGTTTTTTTCCGACTTTTTTTGAAATATTTTTCACTGGGTATGGCAATTTGTGTTCAGGCAGGCGAAATATTTTTGCGGCGAGGACTCTGGCATGTTCTGTTCCATATTGTCTAAAGGAAAACATGTAATATTGATTCCGTTAATGAGAAAATAACTGTGTAACTAGATCGAATTTATGAGTGTGAGTTTCAGTTGGATGAATTTTTAGCTAGGCTCTAGTATGATAGGGTCATGCCAGCATTCGATCGAGAGTGAATGTTGTAAAGTGTTGATTGAGTTTCTGATAGACTTGTTAGTAAAACTCTCATTGAGATGTCATTCATAATGAGATCATTTTTATTGTCTTATACACCTGGTCTATGCAAGAAATGACGGCAACGACTTCGAAGGTTATTAGGTAGTATATTTATATAAAAAGCTGAAATGTCTGCTAAATGATATTACTGGTGATATCGAATCATTTTCACAGTGGTCTTTATCTGCAGACCGTTTCGATTGTATTGTTTTCGCTTTAAGAAAAGCACGGATCTCAACAGCATCGTCGCAAAATCATACCATATGATAGCAGTGAATGCTGATATTCGTTGAAGCATTCAGTTGCTTGTCTTCTTCTCGAGGACATCAGTTTCTATCTTCCATAGGTGTTAGGTAGTGGCGCTACTTGCGACTACTACCTATGTCCTTCTCTTCTCTATATGGAGTGGTCATCTCGTGTGGAAGAGAAAAGAGAGGTGGTGTTTTCCACTCTCTCTCGTTTTTTCGGTTTTGAGTGAAGGTATGTGTGATCTCGAAGGGATCTAATAAAAAAGGGGTTTAGTTAGGTGAATATCCTAACAATAGGTAAGTGTTAGCATTCGGCCTACCAAGTTTCATAGTGGCCAATCTAAAAAGTGTCCCTGATGTCGTTTCCACACCAGTCACTGGGAGAGAAAGACAGCGCCTAATTGTAGAGGACGAAATGTTGTCGATGCAGCCTGGAGCGTACCATAGAGGTACCTGGAGCAGGTCGTCTTGCTGTATTCTTATGACAAACATTCTCATATCAACTAGGAATTAGTGCTAAAGGTACGATTCATGAGTTTTTTTTTGTCGGCTGACAGATCACTATTCAAAAATAGGGCCTTCGACTGGGATATCTTGCGTTCATATTTTAGAACCATATCAGAAAGAGCAATCCATCGATCAACAATTGAGACAGCAGTATCTTTTTCGGGTCAGCTTCATTACTTCGTGGAATTATAGTAGAAGATGACAAGTTTAGTCAGGGTGAACGCAGTCTGTTCGTTATCAAAAATGAGAATCGTCGATTTTCATCCCAAAATCTTCTTATTTTTTTCAAGAACTATAGTATTTCATCCGTTCTAACAGGCTGACTCATGCACTGAAAACAAAAATGGTGCCATACGGAACCACTTTTGCAACGAAATCGAAACCCTTTTGCAGGTTTCGTTCCAACCTAAGATGCTTTCATGAAACTTGTCAAGTGTTCAATACTCTTTTTTGAAGGTTTCGCGGGAACACCACGAAATCTTCAAAAACTTTAGAATTCGTTGCAAACTGCGAGACCTTTTAAGAGTTCTATTTGATCTAAAAAGCATTTTTAAAAGATCTTTGTTTTCTACGAAACCTTTTTTAAGTCCACGAAACCCTCCTTGGTTCCGACAAAAACCATTTTTGTTTTCAGTGTGCGTTTTCCAAATGACTTCCGACTGACTCACCGCAATAGCGGAGTCTCAAACATCTTGATTTTCCTCTTGGTGAAGCTGAAAAATCCCTTGTCACTCGTTCTCTTCGTCCCTTTTCTATTCCATCTCTTGGTGAATGTTTTCTAACGAAAGTAGGACACAAATGTGAAATCATTTTAACAACTTGAAACCGATATTTCTCTGATGGAAGCATAAGATTTTCTTCAGAGTAATACAAATTTTGCTCTAATAGTCAAGATCTCTTTTCTACAGGTTTCAGGTCATCGCCCTGAATCATTCTCTACACATTCCGAAAGGGAAACTGGAGCATTGTGAAAGAAATGAATCGAGTAGTACTTACTGACTTTGGTTCTTTGTAAAACTTGTTATTCTGTTTTTTTTGACGTATGTGTTTGCTAATGGTTTGACTCGTCGAAGGAAATAAAATAGCGCACACCGATACACCTTTATATAGGATGTTGAAGCAAATTTTTTATCATATTGACTTTCACAGAATGGGAAAGAAACGTGCCTCAAAGTTGATAACGAGCACACACCTTCCTTACAACTAACAACGATATTATTGCATGCGATGGTAAATTCCGCTTTTCAGAAAATTCAAATTTCACCGAGCTTCAACTGTAGGATAATTTTACGAAGGGTTGGGTTGGGATGAGATGGGCTGGGTTGAGATGGGATGGGGTGGGTTGGGTTGAGTTGGGATGAATTGGGTCGGGTTGGGTTGGATTGGGATGGGATGGGTTGCGTTGGGTTCGGATGGGTTGGATTGGAATGGGTTGCGATGGGTTGCGATGGGATGGGTTGGGTTGGGATGGGATGGGATGGGATGGGCTGGGTTGGGTTGGGTTCGGATGGGTTGGGTTGGGTTGGGATGGGTTACAATGCAATGGGTTGGGTTGGATTGGGACGGGTTACGATGCAATGGGTTGGGTTGGGTTGGGATGGGTTGCGATAGGATGGGTGGGGTTGGATTGGGTTGGGTTGCGTTGAATCCGGTTGCGTTAGGTCCGGTTGTGTTGATTAGGATGGGTTGGGTTAGGATGGGTTGGGTTGCGTTGAGTTGGGATGGGATGGGTTGGGTTGGGTGTGAGTATAGGTGCTGAGTGACGTGTAGATGCCCATGTGAGTGTCGGTGCTGATGCGTGTCATCTAAAACAGATATTAACACACAAACCAGCATCCATGCATACAACTACACCAGCATTCTCACCTACACTCACACCCACACCCACACCCACACCCACACCCACACCCACATCCACATCCACACCCACACCCACCCACACCCACACCCACACCCACACCCTACCCACACCCACACCCACACCCTACCCACACCCACACCCACACCCACACCAAATATGATAAACGTAAACGTGAAGTTCAAGCCATTAAATTCTCTACCATAGCAGACAGCTTTGCTTTTAAAATCTTTCGAATTGAATACGTCGACCATAGTTTCAAAGGCAATTCTAACATATATAAAATTGTTAATTCAATTTGCTTCCTTGTCAGAGAAATTTAGCTTCCAAACACCCGATAAAGTTGATTTTTATGGAAAACTTTTCGATGCAAAGACAACGTCGGAGAAAGTTTCCGCTGAATGAAAGGATTGTGTCATTGAATAATATCTACTCTGAAAGTTCCAGCTTTCTATCATTTATAATGGAGAAATTTGAAAAATTAAGTTTTGACTGGGAATACTCACAAAGTTGATAGGCGGAAACTATCATAGCATCATTTTAAACCCTTTCGAAATTGATTTTTTGAGATCAGGATATCAAGTTACACTAGTTCAAAAAGTTTTATTCTATTCAGATGAAGTTGATGCAATTGCTGGACATTTTCGAAAGAATTACCCTCACATTTGTGATAAAATGCTTTATTGCTTTATGCTGGGTTAATGAATACATATTATTTTTATCGCAATATAGGAAGAAGATTAGTTCATGATTATATTTGTCTCCGTCTATATCAGAAGATTTAACGCTCAATTTTGTCCAGGATTTTTTCCAGGATTTTTTCCAGGATCTTTTCCAGGATCTTGTCCAGCATCTTGTCTAGGATCTTGTCTAGGATTTTGTCCTGGATCCAACGCTTGATCTGGTTCTTTATGTGGCGCCTGGTTTTGCTCTTGACTCGGTTCTTGATTTGACGACTGATGTTGTTCTTGATCTCCTTCTGGATTCGGTCTTGGATTTGGCGTCTCATTTGACTTTTTGGAAAGTAAACCCAACATTTCTCTGTGGAGTGCTTCAGCTAACACAAGCTAAACAAAGACAAGAAAGTTAACCAGAGGAATAAACATGGAAAATGTTTCGACAAAAACATTGTTTCTTATAAGCAGCACAAAATTCAAGGTAATACATAGCCATTACACATTCGTTTGCTATAAACTCTCATCTGACCATCGTATGGATGACTCGATAAACCGAAATATAGGGTAAATACTCGATTTTCTCTATGATGGTTACCAAAACATTCGGCGAAATTAATTTAATCGCTCGCAAAAGTCTCTTCCAAAGAGCGGAAAACATTATATCAATTACGAAAAAAATATATTATGCGGATTACTCGGAAAATCCGCACGAAAAAAAACATTAGTAGCTCTTAATCGTATGAAAGAGGGATTAAGATAGAATTCCAGCTAGAAACAGGTCCTAAAGTCTTTAGAGTGTCGTGAAAGTTTCAGTCAAAATGAATGGTCTTAATCTAATTTTTCTTATTGTATTGCAATCCATAAAGTGTTGTCGAAATTCAGTATCTAAGAAAACTGTTCTTCATTTACATTATTAATCTCGGGACTTTCTAAGGATCATTTGACGTCTACATAGGCGAAGTTTCATCTTGAAATTGTTTTTCTCTAAAGTTTTCTGCGCAAGCTATTTCAAAAGTCTACTCGAAAAAGCCGTGAATAAGATTTGAACGGTTCGAGTAGTTGAAATGGTTTTTAAAATAGTTTGAGAGTAGACTTTTCAAATTTTTATTTTATGCACATAAGATAAAACTTAAAAGGACATCTTTTGAAATCATTAAATTCTCACGTAAATCGCTTAAACCATCAAGGAGATGGGAAATATCTATATTTCATTTTGTACAGCCTATGGAACATGATGTATTTCGCTAGCTAGCAGGCATTGAATTTCTCCATTTTTTACTGTCAAGGATAGTGAGGGTGAGATCCCCTCGTCATTTTCCCCCACTTTCAACTCGAAAACACATGATATTTGAAATCAGAATAACTCATTTTAATGTAGAAATGTCAGTGAATAAAATGCATTATTCAAACAAGTAGTATAGTAGTCGGAAAGTCAATTTGACTATTCGACTATTGGAAAGGTTTTGAATCATCCACAGCTTAGATAATACTTTGTGGTCACTCTATGTGTAGTCAAGCGTCTGAAACGCCTTTACATTCAATTGCACCTTGTAGTCTGGTAGTAAACTTGAATTACCGAAAACTCGAATCGACTTTTTGTTTCTAACATGTATGGTTCAAAGACATTCTGTTTTGTTTCCTCGAAGTTCACGATGTCACTCATCTAATCACGGTCAATTGTCATGGTGATGATATCTGCTGGAAGAATATGATTTGCTAATTAAGCACTGAAGAGCTATTTTGATTTGTTTTCCTTCGGACTCTGCATGTGAAATCTTATTTGGAAAGTATTTCAGTTTTCGGTCATCAGATATAGGTGAGAAACAAAAGCACAGTAACAGGAATCAGCATTTTATGCTACATCGATTATACGAGTAAGAACTTTATTTTGCGCTCAAGTGAAAAAATACAAGAGATCTCTGTCTCTTGAACGTGCCGTCGCAATTGTCATCATACTAAATGAAGAAAAAGGTGAAAACGGTGTAGTTCATCGTTCAACACTACAGCGACGGCTTCTCAGGGTCAAGCGAGCAAAGTGGACGAATACATGCTATGGTGCGACACTTGTGGGAGCTCTGAAGAACTTCGTGGAGAAAGATCTGGTACTTCTTCCGACAATATAGACTTGATTATGACAAAAAAATATGTAAAAAATCAGCTCATAATCAGTGTCTCTTATAATACAATGTGGGAATTTGTTGAAAGAAGTACTTTCTTGTCTAATTTTGTGTTGTTATAAGCTATGGTTGTATAGTTCTATTGATAAAAAGATTATAGTCCTGTTAATGATCTGATGTTATATTTAGTTGTTTACTGAACATGGTTGCATATGAAGACATCTATGAAGCTAGAATTTTTAGACACAACGATGGCGAAACTGTCTTTTATCAATATACGACAGGAAATGAGGTATGCTTACTGCTTTCAGGTTGACAATGAATAATTTCAGCTAATAGCAGATGTTTGATGATGGATTCAATATTGATGTATATACCGATAGTGTAAGGGTATGATCGAAAGACAACTGCGAATAAAATACGCTAAAACGATACAGATGTGTTTTACTTTGGCAATATAGACACACAGACTTATATATATATGTTGCAAGGAAAAGAGCAAGGCTCTTATCCTTGTCATAATAGCTAATATCGAGAAGTCAAACAGTAGAACGTAGAATAAATTATTTGCTTTTCTTTCCTGCTTAAGAACTGCGAAATAGGGAATCAGGAGCCATAAGAGAGACGAAGAAAGGCACGAGTAAATAAATATTAGTCACTTCTTTTTTCGATTATATCACAGTCACGACGCATAATCAATGAGGAAGAATTAATCAGATATTATTTCATTTACTCTACAGTTGCGTTATTGAAAATGGTACGAGAAGAAACAGTATTACTGCGCCTATTTTTGGTTTTCTTAACTGCGCAATTGTGATTTACATCAAAATTCTAATGCGTCAATAAAAATATACACACGTCATTCCTGAAGGAATATTTATAGAAACTACTCACATGCTCTATTACGCTAAAATTACGCCGTAATTACGGCCGTACTACAAACGCACTTTGAGTTATGATTACATTCGTAGTCACCGTAATTGCGTCGCACAATTCTTATGTTGCCACTAATGCACCGTAGTTTTTCCAATCTCTTCACTTTTGCCAAGTTACTGTCAACAAATATGCGCCACTATGAATTCATAATTCTCTGTATTATTTCCATTTATTATCCTGTTTCTTATAGCGCCACCTATAAAAAATATATAATCTATCAAATTTTATAGAGCAAAAAAGATCAAAAAAGTGGTATCAATCGGCAGTTGTTATTCTTCTGGACTATCATCATTGCGTTTAACATATGTGTAGCCATGATTACATCATGCATCTATTGTGTCCGCAAAGCCTCATATTCAACATCTTTCAGATGAAATTTGTGTCGAACAAGTTTTATAAATAAGGTTGAAAAAAACCAGGTTACGACAGAATGTCTCTCATCCTTCAGAAGATGGTATTGATTATCTTTCGCGAACTGTTTTGGTTCAAGAGCGATCGGCTCTTCAGGCTTGAAAACTACATCGATCAGACCAGTCACATATAGATTGGCGCAGACTTTCGTAGTTCAAGCATTCATCTGCATTATCAACGAATGTCACATTCGAGAAACATGTACATTCATGTTCTTGCTGAGAGAGCGTGGGTGCCGCGAACACATAACCTACCCCCACCCGCACACCCTTCAAGGTCATATTTGGATAGCCTGTAAAATCTTGTGTCAGTCAAAAAAAAAGAATAACTCATTCGATGGAAAGTCAGTTACCAAAAGAATTGGCTAACACTTCCGACAATATTCTTCTTTGTTCTTGTTTGTTTTGACTTTTGAAGTCAAACTAACTGGAATTATATGCTTGTCAAGTCGTCAATAGATCTGTCGTTGATAGACTAATCGTTTCTACATGCATATATGTGATGATATTGCTATTCTAAACTAGTATCTACAGACAAAGCAGAGTAGTGTCCGAAATAAGCTTAATAATATTCTTTGTCAGAAGATTCAGTTTTTGTTTTCATTAAAACCGCATTTTTATGCAAAATAGGTCTTGGACTCATAATCAACAACGTTGATAATTAGATTTAAATTAAATTGAACTACTTGGAAAAAACTCTTATTTACATTTCTTTCAGAAGTTGATATTGATTCTAATTATGCAGTTCTTGAAAAAATTATTGACGGTAAAAAAATGGTCTTATCGTCATTGGTCGTTTATTCAGGAAAAAAAATCTAGGATAGTGTAGATTTTACAACCAGGAATAGATATTATAATAAGTGCAGAATATTTAAAATGTTTTTTGTTTTCTCAAATGAAGCTTGTGATAAATAGGTTGCAATAGATTCAACTATCATCGAATAATCATAAAAAAGAAAAATTCCTGCCTTGAAGCAATTGAATTTCGATTGATCTGTTGAATTCGATAAATATCAATAGCAAGATTTATCTCAAATCCGGAATAAATAGATCATAACTTGAAAATGGGATTGCATCTTTCTTTTTTATACTATTTTCTAACCAAGATCGAACTTTCAAATGATTTATTTCTGGTGTAGATTGATTATTCAAATTAGGCAACGATGATCGGCTTTGATTTCGAGATATAACTACCAATGGTTTCTTTTTTTTATGTTTCCAATTAAGAATTAAACTCAAACTAAATAATAATAGAAGAAAGTCTATAATGGGCCAAAATTTTTGTCCAAAAAATTATCTTGAGTAATACTATCAGTAGGAGTTCGATCCATTGATTCACATTGTTCAAAATAACACCAATCTCGATTTGGAAGCAATTTTCGAAAAAATAATTTTACTCCATATTCTGGTGCTTGATCGAAAAAATTAATAATTTCTTCTTCGGTATTAGTAATTGGATACCATTTCGTACTAAATAAATGAGCAGCACGAATAACAAAGTTTGGTGGTGGTCTATTGACAATAGCAGATGAAATTATTTGATAGATTAATTTAGAATCATGAATAGGTGATGGAATATTGTTTCGAGTTCGAAATCGAGCAATACCACAGCAATGAACATCACCACT